AAAGGCGAAAAACGTGGCGGTGGTGGCGAGTAATTAAAAGCTGCCGCGCCGTATATAAAGCTACTCTGTCGGCCGGGGTCGTTCAAGTAAATTTAATTACGCTCCGGGAGCAAAGCGTAATGCACGCCCCAGATACGTTATTTGTATAATTAATTCCATTGCTTTCATATCAAGATAATCTGCGCTGTCGGCGTTTCATTTTGGCAAAAGTTAACCTCGGCTCCATTAAGCACAAACCGCGAGCTCATCTCAGTCAGCTAGAGTGCTCTCGCGCGCCGCGACAACAAATTCCATTATTCTTAAGTAACACGTGATTATTTAATGAATTCGGAAGTGCCGCCGTGAGATATTTAGAAATGATATGTGTGATGACAGGCGCGAGAGCAAGAGAGACGAGAGTCCTTCTAATGAGGTGCACATGTTTCCTGCTCCTCTAATCCTCTCCGCCGCATATTCCTTCTAACACAGACTCCGTTTCCAACAAATAAGCTCGGCGGAGAGACGCGCACGAATTTTGATAATGGCGTTTCCTCTCTTATCTCCCACACTCACCTTGCTTAATTCTTCTCTCTGACGAATTCAGAGCACACATCATGCTGATAAGTACAAGGAAAGTGTGGCAAACTTGGATAATATTTATATGGTCTGACATTGAGAGCGTGTGACTGGTTTTTGGAAGAATAAAATCTAAATTTGTTATTCTCTATTGCCTATTTTTCTGAAAGATTTAATATAATTTTTTTTTTTAAAGACAATAATGAAACATACATGGGTGCGCTCAACAATTTTGCGCTCGCGCTCGCGCTCGCGATCACTGGCAACAGTGCGCTCGCGCTCTGCGCTCGCGCTCAAGATTTTGAAAATGTTGCGCTCGCGCTCTGCGCTCGCGCTCAAATTTTTAAAAAGTCTTGCGCTCACGCGTTGCGCTCAAAAATATTTTTATCCGAGGAAAAAGTGCGACTTTTTAGACAATTTTTTAATATAACAAAAAATACATCGGCAATTGGAAATGATAAAGTTTAAGTTAAATCACCAAAATTGGGATCAGTTTTAAGTTTTTGGTATAAAAACACTGTTTTTCATTACAATTTTTGATCAAATTCGGGAATTTTTACTCTTGGTTTGAGCGCAAAATGAGCGCAATTGAGCGCTGCGCTCAGCGACCAATGCGCTCGCGCTCTGCGCTCGCGCTCACGATTTTGAAAATCGTGCGATCGCGCTCTGCGCTCGCGCTCATGAGCGCAGAGCGCGAGCGCAGATCGCAGAGCGCAAAGTGCGCTCTGCCCATGTATGTAATGAAAGCATGAGAATTAAACACGATTGTTAATCGTAATTATAAAAACACAGTTATAAAAATAAATTCAATTAAATCAATTAGAACCGAAAAATTCAGTTTAATCAAGTTATAAATTATATTAAATTTGGTAAGAAATGTTTAATTTATGAAAAAGAAATTAAATATTTGATTAACATTAGCTTCTATTGTGGTATAAAGTTATTAAAATTACATCATTTGAAATGTGAAATCTCATTAAGGTGGCATAGAATTAATTAAATTTAAAATTAACTTCGTTAAAAACTCCAGTATGTACTTCTGTGCTCTGGAAAAATATTGATAACAAACCACTCAACTGAACCACTCTTCCGAGACGAGTTTCAATCTGAAGAGAAAAATCGCAACAAGTGCACCTTCCTTCAGAGTAAAAGGCTTTACACCGCGCCATATAATTCATCTCGTCAACCAGCACCCCGTCGTTGCGTAATCAAAAATTTAATTAAAACAGGCACGTCACTTGTCGGCGGCCTCTCTCGGCTCAAGAGATGCTCTTTTCGCGATAAGGGTTTCACAAGGCGCTTCTCTCAACCGGGGGTTTTACTACAAAGCGGTGTTTTGTTGCCCGAACGACACCTCTCGCAACAAGATAAACGCCCCAACATGTATTTACGACTTTCATTAGCAGGTTTGCCACCCTGATGCGGCGGCCCTGATAAGTTCGGACAAAATTTGCCCCTTTTCCGTGCGTGGCGAGAGATAAGATTGGAAAAGAGCGGGCGAGTGGAAGCATTAATGTAATAAAAACGATGAGATCAGCAGGAATTGCCGCGGCCAGGTGCGTCTGTTTGCTCGCCACTTGGTAATTGCCAGAGGTGCTGACTACTACGAGTGCGACTTTTGTGCTCGCCGAGCAGGAAAATTCTGCCGCCGAGCCATTTTTCTTTTTTACGCAAGAGGAGTGGATTTTTCTCCGATCGGAACATTCTTTTTTTTTCAGCCGAACGATTTCTATTTGCACAGAGAGTCGTTTTAATTTATTTCCAGTAGGGGGAGCAAAAAAATTTTTTTTGTTTTTCATTTGCGCAGAGTGATGTCAACACACAAATACACGGCGAATAATTGGTGGGCGGATTTTTTCATGTCAGTCGAGCTGAAATTTATTAAAGCGCTCTTCCCACACATAAATCAATGACCCGTCAAGAAACGACCGTGCTTTTAATTGTTTGCAAAAAGAAAAACAGGCAACGGTGATCTACATTTTCTGAATTATTTATTGTCAAAGTAATGAACATTTATCCTTTTTTCTATCTTTTTATCGTTTAGTATTTGCATAAAACGGAATTGAAAGGATAAAATATTTAATAGTGATTAAGGAAAAACTATTTTCTTCTGATTTCTATCTCAAAATTACAATTTTTATTTTTACTTTATATTGATATCGATTTAAAAGTACTGGATTAAAAAATTGACTCATTTTTAGAATCATGAGGGTTAATACTGTTTCTACAGAATCAATCAGAACTTTAAAATTTCTTGGTAATTGCTTTACCACGGTTTTAACAAAAAATTACCAGATACGTCCATGCAAGCAGAGGTTTATCGATTTTACATAATATTATTTCTTTACTTTTCCGTTCGTAAAAAATTCAAACCCAAGAAAAAATATTTTCTTGAACCTTACAAATGTGTCATTAAAATTGCAGCTAATAGGTAGCGACAAAAAGAGTACATAAAATTTAACAATTCACTATTCGCATTAATTGCACAGTGCATTTTTAAATTCTTGAGTCAGATTTCTAAAATGTACCACATTATCAACAGTATTTTCTTTTTTTATTGAATATATTATAAATAAGTTATCAACAAGAAGAGGAATGAACTCTTTTTGGAAAAGTGATAGAATTTAATTAATGTAGCACTCAATTAATTTGTCAAATTTTATTTCCTTTTAAAAATTCGTTCATGGTTAATAAAATTAAAAAATATGAATAAATTTTGCAGGTATCAAACATAATAAAAAGAATTGTAAAATTAGATGCTAAAATAAATAACTGAAAAGAACTGAAAATAAAGAAATAAAATATTTTATAGACTTTTAAAATAATATTTAATTAAAATTAGAAGTTCTTTTCTATATGAAACAACAAAGGATCTTGAATTCCGTCGCTAAAGCAGCGATATCAAGCTAATTAACCTTTCCGGCCCGAACTTTCACTCTTGTGCACCCCAGCTGATTTCGGTGTCGGCCGGGTTGTCGTGTCGGGAGAGCAACCCTCGTCAAGGTACAAAATAATTCAGCGCTGCTTTCTTGGGCTGACCACGAGCTGAAACCGAAGAAGCACCTTTTCTCCCTCGCCCTCTCAACAGCACACTCGGCTGGCTACTTTATGTAATAATACTCACTAGAGCTCTCCCCACAGGCATCTCTCTGCAACTGGCTTTGTGAAATTTTCATGCTGCGCCACTAATATTTTATGCGAGAGAACGAACGCCGTTAGCAGCGCAACCACGACTCCGCTGCGGATCGACGCTGCCGCCGGGTCATTACTACCAGCCAAAGATGCACTTTAGCTCGCTCGTTCGGTGTCAGGTTACAAAAGCCACACTGCAGTGCGGGGCCGCGATGCTGATTTCAGCGCAGACGTGTGTGGATTTTCAAAAGCAACGCTTTTCACTCAAACCAGAGGCTATCCCATTCACGGGCACGTGCAGACGTAAAAGAAAAAAAAATGGGAAAAATAATAAAATGTTTTGTTTCTTTCAGAAGAGACTGAGTTAATGTCTTTTCAGATGGCCCTGAGTTTGCCACATTACGTCATGCTCGGCTCTGCAAACAATAACTTCCGAGTCTAATAAAAATGTCACTTGAAACTAGACTGTGTGCAGCGTTTGTAAGTACAAAACTATAAAGCGGGCTTGGCGAGGAAAATAAAAAGCTGGGCACGAGATGAAAAGTGTAACTTATTGTTTTGAGGTAACAGAGTTTTGGTAAGATTGTATTTAATTAAAAAAAAAAAAATACTATATAAAATAAATGGTTTGGTACATTTATTCAATGAATAAATTTCAAAGCTCTACAGTATTTTCTTTTCTTGAATTATGCTTTTTTCTCCAAGCCCTCTATTATGGAATTTTTCTTACCAAACTTCATTTGAAAATTAAATAAAATATAATTGAAAGATTGAAACAAAAAGGTGTGATTTTATTTGAAATTTGTTGATTCATTTTTTCATTACTTTGTAAGTTTGTGAGTAACAATGAAATTTTAACGCCTTAATTATCTTGTTAATTTAAAATTTTTGCATTTCAATTTCTTTCAGAACGATCAATTGAGTGAAAATTTCATTTATTTAAAGAATTATACGGAATTATAGAAAAGAAAAACGTTTTCAAAGAGAATTTCTAAACATTGCAGTTCATCAAAGGCAGCTCTCATTCTTTTTATTCCCACATAGACCCCGCAAGATAAATAAACAGCCCCTCTCAATGTTATTGTTTCTTCAGAAAACAAGCCAGGCGCTTTTCTGTGGCACGCAGCCTACTTGCCGCCGCGATAATTGGCGCGACCAAGGACCAAATAAGTCGATTAATTACCACGAACGAGTTTTAATAATAAAAAAAGAAAGAAAGAAACGCGGCTGGAGTTGCGTGTTGCCTAATTTGGGGCTTGTCAGTCAGAATAGTCGCTGCTGCTGGGATTCAAGAGAAAAAAGCAGCGATTTACCTTGAACAGAAGCGGCGGAGGCCAGCAGCAGTGCAGGTAGAACAATCAGAAGTGCGACCGCAGATGGACCCATTGCAGCAGCGCAGCAACAGCTCTGGAACACAGAAACATACATAGTAGTAGTTGAGCACTAGACAGCGCCGGCTTTGTGGGAGAGAGAGACAAAATAACAGACAGCTACAGACCCTCATGCTCTTCAGCTCTTGTATATTTTTTATAGGCGCGCACCACGTTCATAAAACGGGAATGAGTAGTTTCGTTTGTGGCTTTGCAGGAATGGACGGGGATTTTTATTTTTTCATTTCAATATGCAGAGGAGAATGTGACATAAAAAATTTGATGCTTCTGAAATTAGAAAAAAAATTTGAATAAAAGATATAACTGATTTAAAGAAAAGAGACGCCGTTCAAGAAAAACAGAAAAGCACCAGGCGGTTGTTTAAGTGTCTTGGATTTCTTTGACAAAAATCAAGTTCATAATAATCAAAGTTATCAGGTTAATAATAACTTTATAACAATTATAATAATAATTCAGTGGATTTTAACGCGGACAAAACTTTGAAATGTAAAAAAAATCCAGAAGAACGCAAAGCTGTAAACTTTAATTTAAAAATGAATATCTTGGAAATGCTGAAATGTAACTTAAAATTTGCATCGTTTATTCCAGGTTAGCCAACTCAGCATTCTTCCTTCATTGGTCATTTTATATTAGGGGTGGGGGAACGACCAATCGAGGCGGCCTCCCCTCCACATCGAACGATGGTTTTATAGTGTTTTTAATTTCACTTTATAAAAAATAGCGGCAGGGCTTAATGACTCGTGAAATGACCTGTGTGATGTAATGAAAAACAACGGCGATGCCCGTTCAAACAAGAGCGACCGCTTGTTTGCAGTGCCTTTGTATATACCATCAGCCGATTCTATTAAGCGCCGCCGAGCTCATTATTTTGAAATTTTTATGAACCGATGCTGCTCGGCGAATTTGCCACATCAAACACGCAACAGCCTTTGACCCAAATCAAATCGCTGCCCTACTAAAACTATTAAAACCGAGTGGAATTCAATTTTGCTCGGAAGTAAAAAAAAAAGAACAGATTTCACATCCCTGCTATTTTTCCAAACCCATTTTTTACTCTTCAGAGTTCAATGGAATTCCATGTGCAGCCGGATGGTATATATAAAAATTTTATTGCTGCCGTGGAGCAATTGGATAACAAAAGGAGAAGGAACGTCTTAATGGCAGCATCTCTTCTCCACTGATGCTGGAGAAAAAACGAGAGTGCGCTGCCGCGTAATTTGGCCTGCACAAACAAAGAAGAACTCAGCCAGCAGCGACTTGGCTCTGGGTATCATTACTGATAATGGATGGGTGTAGTGCTCCCCCCAGTCATGCATGACTCGGACAAATATGAAGAGCTCAGGCACTCAGACCTAATGACATTTTTACAAATTTAATTTTGGCATTCTTCCTTTCGTTGCCGTGGCGGCGGAGGAAAACAGCAAAGGCCATATCTACTTTTTCTGTTTGCTTCACAAACATCTTTTTTGCAAGTTTTTTGCCCATGAGATGATAATTTATAAAAGGGTATAATTAAGGATAGGATTTTTTGTTCCAACAAAAGAGGTAAAAATAAGTTTATTGAAAGATCAAGTGTCACGAATATTAATTTTAACTTTTTTTTATTATTTATCTGGTGTCAACTCTTTGTCTGCAAAGATTAAAAATAACTTAAGAAAAAAAATGGTAAGTAGTAATTTCAATTATTTACACAATGATGATGTCACTTAAATTGGCCCAGTTTGTTGCAACCCACTTTAATTAAATCTGATTTAAGAATCTGTTCTTGATTAAAACAGGCCGCGAACTGAAATCCAACGACTCTCTTTCATTTCCACACTGCGCTGTTGTTGGGCCAATTGGACTTAACAACTTGATTAAAAGTTTACAGAGCGCGGGAGGAAGGCTGCAGTAAAAAGGAATTAATTTCTTGATTAAATCCGAACTTCTTATTTCCCAAGCGCGGCTTGCTCGATTTAATTTTATAGCGTGTCACGCCGTTAAAGTCTCAGCAAGAATTTAAATGGGCATCTTTGGAGACTTCGGTCCCCTCCCTTTCAGAAACAACATTTTACCAAAAGAACCATTTAGTAGTCGGGCAGCTGATGCAGCAACGAATTAAAGAGACTTTTTGCGGGCGCAATTTCACGCCGCCGCCACCGCGCCGCGTTCACGCATTATTTAGAGAATTGGCGGCGCATAATGAAGCCATTCACGGCATCTGTTTCGTTCGTGTCGTCACCGCGAGCCCATATGTCGACGCTATAATTAAATCATCACGGCGCTCCAGCAGAGATGAAAGCAGGGAATTTCGCCTCGTTTGACTCGCGCGCTCTGCATAGAGAGGAAAGGCGCGATCGCGCCTCAGAAGTGTGGCACCCAGAATTCGGATCCAACCACCAGAAAATTCGACGAGAACGAGAAGCTCTCCAGGACGGAGAATAACATGGAAGAATTTTTCGGAGGTTAGTAATCAAACGAAAAAACACTAGTTACAAAGAAACAATAATCAAAATATTTTAAATAATAAACAAGTGAAGAACACGAAGTAGAAGCAGAATTTCACTTAAGCTTCATATTCATTACAAGTGGAAGCGGAACAATTAATAAGATTTTTAGATGCCGTGTGATAAGGTTTTCTAATTTTGATATTTTCCACAAAATAACATGCTCCAAAAGTAATAAAATTTGTAAATAATAGTTAAAATAAAAGATAAAAATTAATATAATTGAAGATAAAAATAACAATTAAAAATCTAAATATTTTTATCTTTTGCAATTTTAACTTTTTGGAATGAAAAAGTTGTGTTTCAACTAAAAAGAACTTAGCCAAATGTCAATTTTTTTTGCTGATTCTTGTAGCATTTTTTTAAATTTTGCTACACATTTAGACTTTCATCTAAATCATCTTTCATTCTTCTCTTTCAAAAAGCAAATGCTGGAAATAACTATAATGCAAAAGTTATTTTCTCCCACTGAAATATTTTCTGTGTTTCTCTGCCAAAACTGTCGCATTAATCCTTCCCTGTTGGTCTACGTGGGATGGGAAAATTTAGCCCAGCGCACGTCCATCAGGCGGACAAATGAGAAAAAATGGCTGCTGGAAAGGGCGCTGAATAATTCCGCGATGCTTTTTGACTGACACATCTCTCTCACTCTCCGGTGTGCGGGGAGAGAACATAGTCGCGTCGGAAAAGGGCCTGCTTTTATAAATGGATGCGGGGTTACACGGCGCGTCGAGTGAATAATTAAAACGAATAGCGCAGCTCCAAGTCGTTAACACCTTTACATTAATTATGATGTAATGGAGCGCGGCGCGCATATGAAAGTAGTTAAGAGCATCATCATCGCCCCGTTGCTGATTACACCCGAGAAAGCATCTTGCATTTTACTCGCTTTGAAATTATTTCGCGCAGTACTTTGCGAGCTGCGCTGCGCCAGCCGGCGTAATTTGGTTAATTAGCCTCTCTTTCTAGCTGTACCCGTATACATGTTCTCTATGTGCAGAGTTGCAAAATGCTCTTGACATAACTCGATCGGCACAAGTTTGACGTCGGAATAGAGCAAGAGTAGCGAGATGTGTAATTGAGTCTTGGCGACAAATTGAAAAGTTGCCATAATGGGGCCTGACGTGAGAACAAAGAGGCCTCTCAAGCGCAACACACACTAGTGAATGATTTACGTGGATAGGAGTATTGAAAATGAGATATTAAAAGTCTCAAAATTATATTTTTGCTATATAATGAATTATAAATTCATAATTTCTTTCAGTAAAAAGAAATTTAAATCTTCTTTCCCTCTTTTGAGCACAAACAATTTTCACTGCATTTTGCAACAAGAAAAGCTAGGGATAAATTCCATTTTGACAAATTTAGATTTAATTAAATATCATTAAAATAAATTCCTCATTAGGATAGCCATTGAACATTTTCTGATGGAAATGAGGAAAAAACTATGAAATAACAAACATTTGTAATAATTATGCATGTTACTGATGTTTACCATTTTTGTGTCCAAAAATAATTTCAAACAGCTCTGCAAAAAACTTGTCAATTAATCTGGTAACATGTATTTATCAGTATCATATATTATCGACAATGTCTGTGACTAATAACAGGTGAATTTTCCTCATACAACAAATTCACCTAAAAAATTCACACAAAATTAATATAGGCCATTATTTTCCTTGTCTGGCTTTGGAGAAAAAAGTCAAACATTGCTTTTTTTTTATTTCACCTCTCTTTGATGTTGATTTATGTATAAATTCGGCAGGATTCTTTTAGGCCCAAAATCCGATTTGCGAAAGGCAATTTCTCGCGTCAAAGCATCCAAACAGGGAAAAATCATCCCGATTGATGAGGATGCGATCAAAAGCATTTCAGGTAATTAGCAGCGTTCAGATCGACAAATCAACCTGCGCTCTCATGATTAATTTCACTCTCGCCGCTACAAATCAGCCGCGCGCGCAATGATTCATAATTAATTCACCTCTGCTTTTTGTGCTCGCTCCATTCCATTATTGTCCTGACCCTTGCTCAAAACTTTCCCAGGCACACCACCAATCAAACACATACAGCCAGAGAGAGAGGAAATGTGAATTATGTTCATTATTAATCTGACCCGGCCGGCGAACTGCTCACGTGCCGTGTAAATTTGTTTGCGCACAAACTCCATCATATATTATTATTTGCAGCAGCTTTGAAGTCTGCAGCGTGCATTTGGCAGCTCATATTATAGGGGTGGATTCCAATCATTATTATATATATTCGCCATACGTCGCGCCCGCCGGCAACTTGGACTCGTTTCGACCCGAGTATAAAAAAGTATATATAAAAATGCATCTCTGTGTACTTTGGTTCATTCAGTCTCTGCGGATTCATTTCGTGTGCGCTGCTTTTTTACACAATGCTCTTTTAACGGCCCTCTCTCTGCCTGCACTCGTGCCCGCCGGCGTTTTTTATTGTACAATGATGTGCACCATGATGGAAATGCTGTATGAAAGCGGTGAGCTCATATGCATGTGTGCTTAAAGCTCAC